TGGAATAACTACAAGCTTTGAATGACACTTGCAGACTAATTGAGAATATATATTTAAACTATTCGTTGCTATTCAGAGCTCTGTGGTAATCAAGACAAACTACTGAACTGCAAAATAGGAAAAACGATGAGTGACACCACGAGTAGAGGCAGCAATATTAGGGAGAGAAAAAGATCACTAGCATGGTTTACGGCAGCTTCAGCAACGTACTTCGATCTTGGCCTGCCTGCAGAAAAACTTATCTGTCTGTACAGAGAATGTTCAGAAGTAGCCCAGGAACAAAGTGATTCAGAGCTCAACATTCTTTGTACTTCTGCTTTTACTGCACTAGATGACCACATCATTAGTGATTCCAGGAAGAGCACAGGAGCGGAATGTGAAGATAAGGAGCATGGAATGGCCGTGTACCTGATGTTAGGGAGTGTCCACTTGGAGAGAGGAGAATATGATGATGCTATATTATACAGTACAAAATGTCGTACCATCGCACAACAATATGGTGATAAAAAGGCTGAGATGTATGCGTACAAGACGTTATGCAAGGCCCACTTAAGGAAAGAAGAATATGATGATGCTATATCATACAGTACAAAATGTCTTACCATCGCACAAGAATCTGGTCATAAAGAGGTTGAGATGTATGCGTACAAGACATTAGGGGATGCCCACTTAAAGAAAGAAGAATATGATGATGCTATATTATACAGTACAAAATGTCTTTACATTGCACAAGAATATGGTTATAAACTAAATGAGTTGTATGCGTACATGATGTTAGGAAATGCCCACTTAAGGAAAGAAGAATATGACGATGCTATATTAAACATTACAAAATGTCGTACCATCGCACAAGAATCTGGTATTAAAACAGCTGAGATGTATACGTACAAGACGTTATGCAAGGCCCACTTGAAAAAAAAAAAGAATATGATGCAGCTATATCATACAGTAAAAAAATGTCTTGCCATTGCCGAAGAATCTGGTCAGAAAAAGGTTGAGATGGATGTGTACAGCACATTAGGGAATGCCCACTTGAAAAAAAAAAGAATATGATGATGCTATATTATACAGTAAAAAATGTCTTGCCATCGCACACAAATCTGGTGATAACAAAAATGAGATGATCGCGGACATTATTTTAGGGGATGCCCACTTGAAGAAAGAAGAATATGATGATATATTATACGGTAAAAAATGTCTTGCCGTAGCACAGGCATCTGGTGATAAAGGAGCTAAGATGTACGCGTACATGACGTTAGGAGATGCCCACTCGAAGAAAAAAGAGTATGATGATGCTATATCATACAGTACACAATGTCTTGCCATCGCACAAGAATCTGGTGATAAAGTGGCTGAGATGAGTGGGTATATGACTTTAGCAAATGGCCATTTGCTGAAAGAAAAATATGATGATGCTATATCATACAGTACAAAATGTCTTGCCATCGCAAGAGAATCTGGTGATGAAGTGGCTGAGATGAATGCATACATGCTGTTAGGAAATGCCCACTTGAAGAAAAAAGAATATGAAGATGGTATATCATACAGTAAAAATTGTCTTGCCATTTCACACGAATCTGGTGAAAAAGTGGCTGAGATGAAGGCGTTCATACTGTTAGGRGATGCCCACTTGGAAAAAGAAGAGTACGATGATGCTCACTCCTTCTTTACTCAAGGCAGGACAATAGCGGAGGAACAAGGAGACAACCGTAACGTCATCTTTTTTAAAACACGTATAAACGAAATTTATGAAATAGTTGGCACGTCTGAAGGATATAGTGAATTATTGTCAGAACTCGAATTCCCGCAAGGGTTTCTAGATGGTATTCAAAATTTTGACAGTTTTTTGCGTTCGTTGCTTGGCTATTTGCTTAATAAAGCAAGTGGCAATTACAAGGAAGCCCTTTCCTGTCTTGAGACTTGTATGGCACTCGGAAACAACAGTTACTATAAAGCTGAATATGGTGAAAAATTGTGGACTCTGAAGCATGACATCTCAGAGATGCATGTGTTACTTAGGGACTACGATAAGGGTATACAGTATCAACAAGAAGCACTAGATGTCGCACGCAAAGAGGGCTCAAAGTCCAAACAGGCAAAGTCCCATTTTAGCCTAGGAAAAGTCTATTATAAACTTCAACAGTATGGGAATGCAGAGAAGTCATTGAAAGAATCGTTAACGGGCTATGAAAAGATATTTGTTGGTCTTAAGCAAAACGATCGTTTCAAAATAGCTTTCGTTGATAAATACAAAGAGACTTTCAAGAAGCTTCTGAAGGTTCTTATTGAAACAAATAAGAAAGAAGAAGCTCTGGTATTGTCTGACCACTATCGTGCAAAAGCCTTGAAAGATCTTCTTGTTTCAAGCTATGGAATGAAGAAAGAACAAACTCCTGATGAGGATTTACAGTATGCCGATGTCCAGTCTCTTGTCTCCAGCAGTGATTACACTCTTCTGTTTTATTCAACGTGTTTTGACGAGTTGTACACGTTTGTAGTAGAGGCAGGAAAGGAGCTTGGATTTTCAGTCCAACGTTTTAAATACTGTGATACATGTCTAGACAAGCTTGTTGATGAAAGATTTGAAGATATGAAAGTGCGTCAAGTAATCCACTGTGAGGACAGATCATTAGACAACATGCACTACTCTGAAGAAAACAAGGATCCAAAAGATGATGAATTAACGCAGCTGTTGATTCAACGGAGAGAAAAGAGATTATCAGAACAATGCCGTTCTACTTGTGTATGCAGAGAAAACCCATCGGAAAACTGCGATAAGAGCAGCCGGACCAGTGGCCTGGAAATATTGAATCAAAAGTTAATACACAACATCAAGTGTTTCATTAAACAAGACGAAATTGTCATTATTCCTGAGGGTCCCTCGTGCAGATTACCATTTGCTGCCCTACGGGACCCAGACACGGGACAATTTTTGTCAGAAACAAAGCGAATAAGAATGGCTCCTTCCATTTCATCTTTAAAGCTTCTCCAAGAATACCCAGTGGACCATCACTCCAGAAAAAAAGCACTGATCATTGGCGCTACCTTCGTTGGTTCAGTTATGTTCAATGGAGAAAAAACTGAATTTAAGTTCTTACATGGCGCAATACTAGAGGCACAAGAAATAGCTAGCATGCTTGGAGTTCGGGCGTTATTGTCAGCTTACGCTACGAAACATGTTGTCATAAAGAGACTACAAGAAGGAGCGTCTGTTGTTCACATTGCTGCGCACGGTGACTTGGAAAAGGCCACAATCGTACTTGCTCCTTCTCCTGAGATCAGAGCAACAAAGATCCCAGATGAGGAAGATTACATGCTCACCATGGCTGATGTACAGCAGGCTCAAGTACGTGCACAGTTAGTTGTGTTAAGCTGCTGTCACAGTGGACGTGGTGAGATTAAAGCTGAAGGAGTAGTTGGCATGTGTCGAGCCTTTCTCGCGTCGGGTGCTCGTGCTGTGGTGGGTTCCCTGTGGGCCATCAATGACGATGCTACGAGGATGTTTATGGAAACGTTTTACAAGTATCTGAAGGACGGCAAGAGCGCAAGTACAAGCCTGCATCTGACGATGAACGACATGAGAAAAACGCCACAATACAGTGAACCAAAGTATTGGGCTCCTTTCTTTTTGATGGGCGATGATGTGACGATCCAGTTCAAAGATTAGCACAGTAAAGATGAGATTTTTTGGGGAAAGTTTCCTTTGGACATTATTTCCATAAACAGGGAGTAAAATATAACAATTATCAAGTTTAAAGATTTAAAGGACTAACAGTATGTATTAACTTTAGCGCAAAACCTGTTTTAGTTGGGAGGGGCGTAGATCAAGAACACGGAAGCGAGGTCAGTGAGGCAAAGAAAATATAATGATCAAGTTTCTTGCTTTAGTATCATTTTCTTAGTTTTCGTGTTATCATCATGTCAGTACCTCACAGCTAAAAGGGTTTTGCTACTGTATATATGAAATATTTAGTGTGCGTTAAGTTAGAACTATATAAAGCACTATTCTAGGACACCGACCCTGATAACGAGAGTTAACTCTATAAGCCTTTTCATAGTTTAAGAATTGATTCCACTTCGCATATGATTTTATCCCGAATTTCTCACCTTCTTTTGTCTAAGCCTTCTTTTGTTCTTAATTAAACAAAAGAAGGTGAGAAATTCGGAATAAAATCGCATGCGCAGTTGAATCGATTCTTAAACTATGAAAATGATTATTGATGTGTCACCCTACAGTCATGTAACCAATATTTAATGACATGTGAAGGTTCGAGGTTTGAGGTATAGAGTACCTGAACTAGCTCATGGTATGTTGGTAGAACATTATTAGTCAGCTTCAAAACTTTTCATTATTAATTAGGTTTGAATAATGATTTAGGATTGGATTTTGACAATGTACGTCAGTCAAATTTCTAGCAAGCATTGAATGCTTATCTCAATTAGTTCAAGTCGGGGGGAATCTTAACTATTAATAAGAAAAGTTGGTTCATTTAACTAATCTAATTTAGTCTAAGAGGATGTAGGGATTCACTGTTTGGGTGGAGGGTAACAATGTTGCCAGTTTGATGAGGTTCTCAAGCCCTATTCTATCTGTAAAAAAGGTAAAGGTAAAGGTAATTTATTTTACTTCGATAACGCGGGGAGTGGTTGCCCAATTCTCCCGAGCCAAGGGCTCATGTTTAATGCGCTCGAAGGTGCGCCCTCTACCCCCTCTTACTACCAGTGCTCCTTTTTACGGGTATTTAAAGCTAATTAAAGCTACACAGAACAGAGAGAAGTCGAAACAGACATGGAGTTAATAGATACAATAGTACATAGATACAACTATAATATTAATTCTTTCCGTTCGTTGAAACGATTTCTTAGCATGGCAAAATCGTTGGATTGTGGTCCAGCTTGGGTGCACAAATCTTTAACTCATCTTGCATTACAATGAGTTACTCGTACCCAAGCCAGACAAGAATGATTCTGTTTAGGCTTCAGGAGAAAATWACTCTTCAATAACTACATGTGTAGCTGAGTAACTTTCAGTTGACCCTCCAAAGTTCAAAGGAAGACTGGTAACGAACTAGTCGTGCATAGTATTGTGGGAATAAATGTGGGGGCGAAAAGTTCCGCCATCTTACGTCCCCCATTCAGCCCCATAATCCTTTTCACTGTAAGAAGGTTACAAGTCTTTCTTCAATTTTCAGAAAAGTGAGGTCAACTGACCGTATTACTCGTAGAATAAAATACAAACAAGTTTTTTCTTTAGATATAGAGGGGTTTTACGACAGCCATGTTGTAGGGTAGGAGCAATACAATGTCTTTATCTCATAAGAGATTTCATTTCCCAAAGAAGAACATTCTTATTGCTGTTCGTTACAACATATGTCTGCCGTTAAGCCCCTCTGTTGGTTTTATTTCAAAACAAAAATATACAAAAATATACAAAAATATAATATTCACACTTTATATTCGTTAGGTTTTACAAGCCAATGCTTCGTATATAAAAAATTGTAGAAAGAATAAATAGTGATAAAAATAATTGCGTTGCGCATATCAAGGCTTTGAGTTTGTTTTTGTTATTTTGACTTTATTATTAAACTAGTCAGTTATTGAATTACCTTGAAGTGTTAATTTAGTTCTTCATTTTATCTATTATTAAATATTTAACAAAAATATATTAGATTGTCGTCCTTTGTTTTCCATCAAGACAAACTCCTTCAACACCACATCGATGTCATGTGACTTATAAACAGCACAGGAAGCCCAAGTATCGTATTTGTGCCAGTGATAAATGACTCTTATGTCGTTGTAAACGACAGTAGTGAAGACCAAGACACATTAACAGTCTATTCAAAACAGCTTCATAGATAAGGTCTTGCTGATCTACTTCAGCAAATACTGTAATATAATGGCACTYVCAATGTTTGGGCTTCCTGTRTGTACTGTTGATGTCATTTAACGGCCCGTCATRTTCATTGTTCTCTCTGGTGAGCGGTTCTCTGGTGAGTAGATATCTGGTGATGGGGACGATATGAACGAGTCCCGCGGGTCGCTCTGATGCAGTCGGGTTAACGCGCTCATCAAGACTTGTGAATCTATTGGACCCTTGATCTGAGTGCTGCTGAATGGACTGGTCGACTGCAGGTAAGACACCAAAAGATCATAAGCAATGACATTGTAAACATTATGAAGAATAAAGTTAAAGCTCGAAAAAGAAGTTTTGAGAGCTCGTTTTCGAACCAGTCCCAGCGCGTTCTCAAGGGACATCACCTTCTCTTCTAGGTTTCTCTTGTCGCGTGCAAACTGGTTTCTTTCGAGAAAAAGAACAAACAAACATAAATTMATCTGTTATTGACGTCTCTGTTATTAACACCAAGTCGTGTTGTTGATAACCTGCTTCAAGTCTCGCCCGCTATTTTTTACCGTTGGAAACCCGGAAAGCCGTCGTAACCGGAAGTGCAATATTTGAATCCGAGTTTCCAACGGAGAAATTATTAGCGAGCGAGTTGCTTTTGCATCGATTGGAATAGGCCGTTCGCGTAAAATAACGCTGTGCTCATTGATTACTGACTCAATTATACAGGGTTAGCCTCATTACTGTGAACAAATATCGAGAAATACCAACGGTAAAGTAAAGAATGCACAACCTGAACATCACAACACATTAAAATTCCACGGACCTTGACTGGAACACATGAATATTCAAAATAATTCCATACGAAATTGAGTCTAACCCTGTACAATGGAGAATTCGAAACTGGAGTATTTAGCACGTTGGGTTTTGAGGAGAAAATAAAGAAACCTGTAGAACCAGGAGGGAAATCTCTCAAGTCAGGGCACGGCTAACTTGAAGATCAAGTKGAACTTAGCATGTAGTTTTACATATGGAGCGAGGAAACTAGAGAACCTATAGAAGAACACTCGAATCAACGGAGAGACCGAACAAACTCATCTCACAGGTGATGTCGAGTCCACGAATCAAACCAAAGGTGAGAGGAAAGTGTCAGAGGAGAGTGTACTACAACTAAGCAGGGCTCGAAATAGAAAACTTTTTTAGGCTGCCATAGTAAAGTATAGTGGTAATTGGAGGTCATTCCAGTACATTTTGCATGCTATTTTATTATTCAATTGGGCAGTGTATCGTTATTTTTACCTGCAAAGCTTGAAATCTGGCCTGTTATTTGGCCATTGGCAGCAGGTCGCTATTTCGAGCCCAGCTACAGCTAAGCCATATTTAATTACATATTTAACACAACTACAACTCAAAACAATGGTACCCACCTCAATGCTTGTACTTTAGCTTGGGTTTTCGTCTTCCTCTCGTCATTTTTTCTHTTAAGGTTATCTATCCTGTCCGCTGCTCCGATCAGCTCTTGTTTTAACATCTCATTTTCTTGTAAAGCTTCATTCATTCGCTCTGATAAATTCTTGGATTCAGATTTTCTTTGTTTTTGCTGAGAAATAAACGAGTCTTAATACTTCAAAATTATAATATCAGTGCTTTAAATTAGCCCTAACAAAATGGTCTCAATGCCATTCGCTCTGATAAACTCTTGAATTAAGAATCGCTTTGTTTTTGCTGAAAAATAAACAAGTATTAATACTTCGAAATCATAATATTAGTGCTCTAAAGTAGCCTTAGCAAGGTGGTCTCAAAGTCGGTTTCTTTCTTTGTGTCGGGATACATAATTATCAGAAATTCTTAATACTTCAACAAAGGAAAAAATAGAACTTCACGACTACAACTGAATTTTGTCGTACTTTTTCATACGTACCGCTATTTCAAAAAAGATTGGTTAAGATTTGCATGCTACATGTTTAAAATGTACTGTGGATTATATGTAAATAATTATCCCACAAAAAAATGGTATGCAAAAAAAAA